TGCAATGTTCCCGATCTTATGCCGGCATTTGAGCTTCGTCAGAGGATAGACTTAGTTTAGAGCAGAGTTCTTCCACACAGTTGCCCAAAGCTTTTCTTATCCCCTTGGTCTTCTACCGGTTTGTTCGGCAAGTTGTTGCTCTTTTGTCTTTCTTTTGATTGAATCCTTTGCAGGACGTGTCAAAACTATCGCAGTTGTGACTTGTAAATTGAGAAGCAGCAGCTCTACACCAGTAATACGTACACAATAAATTCGATTTGCAATGTCGTTTCGTAACTGAACTATAATTTATAAAAGTTAATTTAACAATAATTAGCGGTTGTTCAAAAAAGTATCGTGTTATTTGCTAGGGTCATTGTATTCTTTTACATAATTTCTATTATTACTTTCAATGCACAATGGCTGGAAAGATATTAGCACCTGAAAATAATAAAGAAAAGGCATAGACATAACCAGTGTCATCCTTTATCAGGCAAAGAATCACGCCGGCCGCAGCACGTTTTGTCATGGCGCAAAGTTTTGCCACGTGTTAGCAGGGCTGACGGTGGATTTGGGGAACTTCGTACAGACGAGTACCCCAATTCGACCCGGTTATTTATCGAAGTTGTCTTTGCTAGCCTTTGACGAACCGACGTCTGATCACAAGACGACGATGGCACTGGCGGCATTTTCCTTCAAACGGACGGATCGCTTTCGTCTCGTCATGTGACTGTAATTAGACATTGTGAGTTCTTTCTAAAGAATGAACTTGTCGAACTCGATCCCAGTTACGCCCGGTCCACGACTGCTTTTTGTAGTAACCAACCTCCGTATCTGGAGTTGATTCGCCTATCCCCACAACCTGTAGGACGTGCAAGATGGTCAGCAGCAAGACACACATCCTCTCTTAAGATGGTAAAAGACCGGAATGTAAAACTGATGACCGTTGTTTAGTCATACTTCCGTGTTTTACTGTCGAAGTGACGCAATGGCTGTTATTTTCCTTCTTGGGTCGATAACCGAGGCTCAGAGGGTTCATGAAGTTTAAATCAGTTTTGTCAGAAAACCAGACATTCTGATTGCAAACTCGTCTGTCTGTTAATTTCTGAAAAAGGAAAGAAAGTTTGTAAGCATTGGAATGTCGGTCTTCCATTCACTTTCATAATGGAACCAGTCAGGAGTCTTTCTTTTCGTGAAGTTGGGATAATGATGATAATTGTAATGACAATAATGATGAGAACTTATGTCCACCATGTCATCTATCATGAGTGCTTTATTACACAGGCGAGCCGGAAGCAGCTAGGTGTGTAGTCTCCTGTTTCGTTTGTACATAGTGGTACTCACATGTCAGCTTCGGAGAGAAGACAGGCAAATGGCCGGACCGGAGCTGGTATCGGTTCCGAACCTGACACTCTCCAGCTGAGCAATAACAGCCTGAAACAACGTGCGGTAAATTCGTTGTTAAAGGAATACTTGGGTATGAAATAGATTGCCCTCTACCGGAATCGAGCCCAGTACCCTTACTGTTCGAAGTCAACCTCTTGCGCATGATGCCATCACAGTACCATTTTCTGAGAAAAAGCCATATCTTAAAAGTCTTTCTTGATGTCGTCTATCTTATGGAGAAAGAATGACTTTCGATTCATGAATAAGATGTAACATGCAGAAATGACATTAATTCATAAATCTAAACTCATTCGTGTCACAGTAAAGAAAACAACAAAAGTGCGAATTCATATCACCATCATTAGCCTGTTTCAATCCACTGCTTGATGAGGATCTCAAAGATTTTCTTATGAACTTTTGTTTGCTGCAATCCTGATTCCACGCACTTTCTCAGCTTATCCTGTCATCGATCTGGAAGTCTTCCTATAAGTTGTCTACTGTTTCTTGAAACCCAGTCTAATGTTACTCTGATCTAACCGTAGTTAGATTTTCTTGCAACGTATCCAGCCAATTATCACTTCACTTTCTTCACCCATGCATTGACGTCGCGGACTTTTGTCCCTGCTTTTACCCAATCATCCATCAATCTCATCTTTTCTTGTTATTCCAAACTGCATAAGGTCGGAGTCATTGTCTATGTGTCATTGTACAGATGATGAGAACGTGAAAAGTGACATAACCTGTAAAGTGCCTCCCCAACCCCCTGAGCAGAAAATGACATTTTTTTGCAGAGCTTCAGCTAATTTTTCTTCTTTCATATGCTGCTGCAGTTATGATTACTCGTGTTTACAAAATATTAGTTTTTCAAAGCATTCAGACGAAAAATATATATAGTCATTATCTTCAAGAGACCATGTATTACTCGGTTTGTAAAGAAGCGGCTGTCTTTGAACTTGTCCAACCAGAAGGAAAACAGAAAGCCGCCACAAAACAGCACGATCGAAAACGAAAAGACGTCTGGTTTGAAGTTGCACTGTAAGCCACTGAGAGTGCCGTTCATCTTCTCACATTCTGTACATGAAAAAACTGCTTACCATGACTTCCAAATTAATTTGAGAAACTCACCGGTGGAGGTGAAGTTTTTATACACTGCGAACGTTTCGTTTGTGATGACGTTACAGACACATGGATCTGCCAAAAGCGCCTGAAATTCAGAAATGAATTTGCGTTCAACATGTTGAGACAAAATACAGTTTCTTTCGTCCGAGATGTGTTAGCAAACTCTGAGCCGAGTTTCGTGACCCCATCGAAACTGGAGTTGCACGTTTTACTCATTAGTAGATTGCCAATCAGCTTTCAGAGATTAGCTAAGGCGAAACGCAACCACAAGAGGCGCTCGCATCAAACAGCATGGCCGTACACCTCGTCCATTCTGTCATGGCCAGACTATAATACTATGCTGCCCTTCTTTTTCAAAAGTCAGATTTATATTCGTTTATCGGCTAGTTGTTCTGACGCAATGTGAGGTTAGTTACTTACTCGACGACAAGAGAGTCGAACCTGGTACTTGTGGAGTTCAAAGCCGACCTTTGACACTGACTGTGTCACCACACTACACCACGTCATGGTACCACTTCATCGCTCGTAGCCCATTTGACCTGGTTGAATGGCCCAATCTTCCCAAGGAGAATACTCTCATCGAGAAACTAAGGAAAGAATTTAAACAGCGCCTTTGTTTACTGCCAATGACAACCGCTAAATGCCGACGGATATTTACAGATGTTTTATTTCATATCTTTCAATATCAAATAACCAGTAATACTTTTCAGGTATGAAGCAAAGACACCTCGCAACCGAGCGGAAAGAATGTATATTGAATTACGCAGTACTGACAGGCGATCAATAAGGAAATGCTCTAACTTCATTTCATGTCAAGTGAACTGTTCGATATGTTGCCCCTATAGAGATACCGTTTCCTCCTATTTTACCTATGGTACATTTGTACGTTCCGTTTAACACATGAGCTGCTGACTGAAAGAATACGTTCATATTCTATTCTGACCTCGTAATTCCTTGTAAACGGAGTCTTTTGGCCAATTTGCGCCATTGCCTCAAAAGACTCCACGATGAAGACGACGGCGATCAGCGTGGCGAAGGTTTCTTCAGTGAAGCGCGTTATGTACGCAACAAGGAAAGAAGCGTCAGCGGCGACCAGAATCAGCAGGATTATGGCAGCCCAGAAACATAGCCAAAATCTAGCCGGGAGAAATGGCCAGTCCCGTTCTCTGAAATCCGAAGGCACCGGTAAAACTAAATCACTGCTCATGTGAGTTACTAGAACGCACGTGCAAAATTCGTAAAACAACGCTTCGAACATCAGCACCGGCCCCGTGGCGGACATGATGCATAATGGCTGTCCCGCGAAAAAGCCAAACAGGCATCCGCTAATGATCGCTGCGATGATGCATTCCGTTACGGCCTATAAGGTCGAATTGCACTGCATTATAGTTAATTGCATTACATTCAAAATACCCAACCAAAAAGAACATAAATTCAGTTGTTTGTTTCATTGTAATGTTTAAAATTTGCGAGTTGGGGGAGGGGGTTCTATCCGGCGTCTATTTCACCCCTTCATCTGAAATAATTAATTAGCCAAGACAATTTACGTTTACTAGCTTGGAAATCAAATGCTGCTATCAGTATAAGTGCATCTTTACTCTATAATATAACAAGAAACATTCAACCCTCCAAAGCCAAATTTTACAGTCCACTGCATCGCCCCCCCCCCCTTTCCCAGTGATCTAGCGACTATTTCGACAGGCAAGAGTTCCGTGATGCTTGAGCATCTGCAGTGCCAGATGAAACTCGCATAATTTTATTTGCTACAGCCACCTCACGCCTACCACGAACGATGTTTCTGGAGCCATGGCCTACTTAGACGGTGCCCCTAGGCTGCTGGGATCGTGGTTCACGTAATACGGCATGCAATTTCTTACGTGTGGATTCAGCTAATCCTAATAACTAGCAACACGGCTCGCCGCAGTGATCTGAAATGTTTATTTATTAAACCACGAGGCAATTTCGACTGGCATAATTCAGTTTTAAATAGACAAAATTGGACAATGAACTCAAGAACAATGACGGGGGTAATGGGAAAAGATTTTATGCGAACTTTGCGTTAACCGCTGAAAAGTATCTGTGAAGCTTTTAGCATTTCGGTCCTTCGTCTTGCTCACACAAAGTATAGCGGTTGATTCTGCATGTAGACCGAGCAACAGGTTCATGTACGATTAACAGCAACTAATTTTACCATCGCCCAGGTAACTGGAAGAACAGCTGTTCTACATCCTTCTTACCGAACCATTTTTCATTAAGATAAATGTGAGAAGATAATCCTATCGTTGTACTTCTATGAGAAACAAGTGTAAATACACTGAGGCACTTGCTTTTTTGAAAGGGAGTCACAAATCCTTATACTTTGAATAAAGGACTGGAACCGCTACGGTGTCTGTCTGTCTCTAACCTACCATTTGCACTTATGATGGCCGCCATTCGTGGCACTCTTTTCCACTGTGCTTATTAGGGCACTTTATCGTGATGCCGATCTCTGTTACGATGCCATCGGTCTTATTTTAAAGGCAGTTTCTACAGCGTGAAGACCTTTGTTTCCTTTTCATGATGAGATAACCATTTCTATACCTCTAAGCGACATAAGTATAAGCGAAGGAATCGAGGCATGGCTATGCATATTCATCCTAAAGGATATGGTGAATAAAGGCTGCATTTTCGTTTAATATACAGTTATGTGAAAGTATTAATGTACTCCCATGCCAAGCAGTGGAAACGGCCTTCGAGTGCAAAAGCACCATATTCAAGTAGATCACAAGCGACCACGATTTTAAATAGTGTCAGATAGCGATATTTATCTTATTGTTTCTTCACGTAAACGTTTCACCTCCTCGAGCAGGGTTGGTCGATTATAGTACGTGAAATATATTAATGAACATGCCGACAACTTG